TGGGAATGGAGGAGAGGATAATTCTAAGGTTTTTGGTCTAAGTAATGAAAGTATGGAATTGACTTTTTTTTTACAATGAGTCAGCTGGGGGAAGGAGCAGGTTTCGGATGTGTTCAGTTTTATGATGCTTTCAGGTTGGCAGCACCTGCCATGAATCCTGCAGTATGTAAGCACTGCTTTATGTACCACGCTGCCTCCACTGTGCAGATAAGGAAACCGAGGCACCAGGACCTAGGTCTCAGAACATGTGTGTAGGAAGGCTGTGATGTGAACCCAGGCTGCTTCTCCACGGGTTTGTCACCCTGAGAAGCACCCGTCACTGACGGAAGAGCTAAGAAAGGACTTGCTTGAAGTTGGAAAAATTGAGTTTATTTTGGATAAGGCACAGAGCTCTTTTCCAAATTCTAGAAGACCAGGACAAAGAAGGCCCTTCTGTAGTCGGACCGATAAGTTTAGGGCCAATAACAGGAAACACCACATTGCAGGGGTGTCAGGGCTGCAGTCCCTTTGAGGTTGCTGGCAAATCCATTTCCATGTCCCTTCAGGCTGTCACATGGTGCTGAAACAATGGAATGAAACGTGGGAAGACCATTGGAGGTGATTTTCATGGGTTACACTCCATTTTTCATATTTTCTAAGATTTGCATACTTAGAAATCATTCACAAAAATACTAGTAATAGAATGGACAAGCCTTTCAGAGCCTTGATACCCAGTGTGGTCTGCAGACCAGCAGCAACAACGTCACCTAGGAGCTGTCAGAAATGCAGATTCGTTGGCCCCATCCCAGACATTTTGAATCAGAATCAGCATTTTAGCAAGATGCCCAGGGGATACTGATGCTCGTTACAGTGTGCGAAGCCCTGGCCTAGAGCAGAGGTCGACAAACTTTTTCTGTAAAGGGCCAGATAGCAAACATTTTAGGCTTTTGCCAGCCTGTCACAACTACTCAATTCTGCCATCGCAGCACAAAAGTAGCCACAGACAATATGCACCGGAATCAGTATGGCTGTGTTCTAATGAAACTTTATTTATGGACACCAAAGTTAGAATTTTGTATATTTTCATGTGTCATGAAATACTATTCTTCTTTTGATTTTCTTTCAACCATTAAAACCGTAAAACTCTTTAGCTCAGAGGCCTTACAGAAACAGGCCCATCTTCTGACTTGCCTTTCTGGGCTGACCAGCCCCAGGCCTCTTACCCTAACCAGAGGGATCTCCTTCCTTCTTCTCTGTGGGCGTGAGGCTCAGGCCCCCTTTCCCTCCTGACCTGTGTCAGTATGTTTGAAGGTTCATGGCTTAAGCCTAATGTGAAAAGTCAACAGAAGAACTGAGATTTAATATACTTTACCAGTTTCCACAAATTACTGTGTGTTTGTTGTTGTTTCTTATCTTGCTGTTTTCTTTCTGAGAAAGACCAGTGTGGAGAGTTCAGTGCTAAGGGGAGGGGGCTTGTTACAGGTAAGTGGCATTTATTCTCTTTTGCCCCTTTATTTGTCTATTTTACACTTCAGCTGCTCAGAAGGAACACACAACGCAGGGAAAGACAATTACTAAAAAGAAGTAACTCTTGGGGAGGGAGCTGGAAGAGGCAAGTAGAGAAGGGAAGTGCTCTCCAGGAGAATAAGAAGATTGTTCCAGCATCAGTGGGCTGCAGGGAAGAACGCACGACTTGATAAATAAAGCAAACTGTGTCAAGGAGAGTTGCTCAAGAAGTTTCTGAAGCAAGCTGGGCAGTGGGAGGACACGATACACAGAGATAGGAGAGTGACCGGCAGAGACTTACTGAGATCGGAATTTTTAATCTGTACCGCACTTATGGCTACCAGACACTTGCATCTTGTTGGGAACGGGGAGAAGAAAGGAAATAACACTGACTAAATGCCTATTGTATGCCAGGCACGGCTACAAGTCATTTCCCATCATTATTCCAGTTTTAATTAAAGCCACTCATGGAATTAGGTATGCTCACCAGCGAGAGGAACCTGAGAGGTGAAGAGATGAGATTGGAACTTAGTTCTCTTCAACCAGTTTCCCTGATGTTCTGCACTGTCCCACCTAGAATGATCTATAGTGCAAATAGTGTCTTCACAAAATTCTTTATTTCTTCATACCATTAGAGATCCTCAATTCTCAGGGGTGGGGGAAGAACAGAAACAGAACATGCAACTTTATGTCTTTCTCTACTCCCCCCCCCACCCAAAACAAATGTAATGGTTTCATTTAAAAAGACAGCAAGTTCTTTTTCTGTGATGAAGAAAAAACCACCTCTAAACGAGTCAGTACATTGGCAGCATGGTTTCCTAAGTTAAACTGCGTGCTGCCAAATCAATCTAATGACAAATGTATAAATCCTTGGCAGAAATGTGAACTTTGGGGACCATTTATTCAGGGATTACTAAGTCAGGCATATATATTATCTCATTTAATCCTCCAACAGTCCTGTGAGGTTTTAACATTATTTTATGGATAAAGAAACTGAGGCTTAAAGAAAAATATCTTGCTTAAAGCTACTCAGCTGGTAAGAGGCAGGGCCAAGATTAAAACCAAGGACTTTGACTAGGAAGTCTGTCCTCTTAGCTACTACACTGCAGGTTCCTTTTAGCAAAGGAATCATGCAAGTTAGGATTTCCAAGCATTGTCAACCTGCTCAGTACCATATGCCACAATCTCTTGCTGAAGATGGTGGCTATTATGAGACATTCAAGATGCTGGACAGTCATCAGTGCAGCACGGGTGAAAGGGCAAAAGGAGGCTACATTACTCGAGCTTTCCCCAGTGTCTTTCTCAGAACACCTTTCGCAAGAGATGCCCTGAAACAACCACCAACCAACCACAAACCAGGGTGGTGGTTCCAAAATCAAACAGGAAAACACTGAACACCCCAACCCCCTCCTGGAGATTGCCATATGCATAATACACGTCATAGGCTCTAAGGAGTATTGAAATAAAGGATTCTGCTTCACTTTCACCCAGTTTCCCAAGAACCAATGAAATGTCTACTCCCTTTAAAGAGACTTGTCACACGCTCCCCTGAAGGCAGGAAGGACCAGATGATCAACGTGTGCATCTTCCAGTCAGGTCCATGTTTGAACCTCTACAGTTGATGGGAGCTGGGCCTCTGCATGGGGCAGGCCACCATTTGCCAGTCCATGACAAGTTGAGTTTCACAAAGTTGCCATGTGACCAACTTTAAACAAGTTGGTTCAGGAAACAAGGTTAAATCACATTGTAAGAGGAACCATCTGACAACAGAACTTATTTTGCAACTATCCATCTTCTTCTGGGAAAGAGTGAGCCCTACTGTCTGTGTTCTTTCCCCTACTGTTGATATTTGATATTTTCATTTACATGATGCTTATAAATAGAAGCACCCAATCTCTGTGGTAAGCAAATTCATTAAATTCCTATGAGCAATTCCTACTGGAATGAGTGTTAAACCTAGAGTGGGGCTGTGAATAGACCTATGATGGTGTAAGGGTGTAAGTGCTTTGACATGCAGAGAAAAACATACAAGGAAAAGTGAAACTAAAAATCTCATCTTTCCCTGCATTCCAATGATCACTTTATTTTTTAATTTATTTATTTTTGAGGAAGATTAGCCCTGAGCTAACTACTGCCAATCCTCCTCTATTTGCTGAGAAAGGCTGGCCCTGAGCTAACATCAGTGCCCATCTTCCTCTACTTTATATGTGGGATGCCTACCACAGCATCACTTTTGCCAAGCGGTGCCATGTCCACACCTAGGATCCAAACTGGCAAACCCCGGGCCAAGAAGCGGAACATGCGAACTTAACTGCTGCGCCACCGGGCCAGCCCATCATCACCTCATTTTTTTTCTGCTTTTCTCCCCAAATCCCCCCAGTACATAGTTGTATATACATATTTTTCAGTTGTGGATCCTTCTAGTTGCGGCACGTGGGATGCCACCTCAGCATGGCTTGATGAGTGGTGTCATGTCTGCGCTCAGGATCGGACCTGGCAAACCGTGGGCCGCCGAAGTGGAGCGTGCGAACTTAACCACTAGGCCACTGGGCCGGCCCCCAATGATCGCTTTAAATAACTACTTTTAAAAATGGAATCATAGCCTTCTAGACCTGGAAAGAACTTTGGAAATCTAAACTCCTCCTTCAGAGGTGAGGTTGTTGAAGCCTGAAAGGGTTAGGTAACAGGCCCATGCAGCTTGTCTGTGGAAGGGCTGGGCTGGAACTCAGTTCTGACTCTCTGTCCAGTGCTCTTGCTCTTAAAGTCTTCTCTCCTCATTTAAGACATTGCAGTGTCATTTTAAGGAGTTGCTTTCTCGATGGTTTGCTGTAATGGAAAGCTTGCCCGATTTGCTTTTCTGTGTTGGAGTGGAAGGCAAGTCATCCGTACACTATCTGCCTCTTGCTTCTGCTCCCGAGGGTCCTACACTTTTCTCTCTGTCCTGCCCTCTGCCCCCAATGTGCTCTCCCCCTCCCCTTCAAACACTGTTAACTGGGGAAGTCTGTGTGTGCGCTTCCCAGCCTGGCTGGGATCCCGAGGAAGGTGACTCTTGGTTTAATGGAGTCGTTCCACAGTGCTTGAATTTGCCCAAGGGTTTGGCAGGTCAGACAACTAACAAAAAGCAACCTGCCATCCTCTGCCCTTTCAGCAGGTCTGTGTTCTGTTAATACAGGAAGAATTAAGAAGTAATAAGGAAGAAAAAAAGGCAGAAACTCCACTTGAAGTACTTGCCTACCCCCTGGAAAGGTTCAAGGCTGTTGTTCATTGTCTGAATTTTTCCCCTGTGATTCCCTTGTAGTCCCTAAGTCATCTTCTTGATCTTGATCAGACATCTGATCAAGGAAGCATCAGAGGAAAAGAAAAAGTTGGGTATTTGCATTGAAGTCAGTGTCCTGGCTCACAGAAGTCGGCGGAGAAGGTGATTTTTTTCTTTGCAGCTCGGCGATCAGAGCGGGGCCTTTTCCTACGCAGGAAGCCCTCCTCCGCTGCAGGGGCTACTGTGCACAAGAACTCACCTTTTCCTATTTCTCATTCCTCAGCAGACATCCTGTGAGGGGCAGTCTTTTTTTTTCCTTCCAGCACTTATCCTCAGACTCCGCTAAGTACCCAAGAGGGCCGTGTTTTTAATCAGAGGTTGAAATGGAACCTCCCCCTGGGTGCCCTGGGGAGAGTCCCTTTGGGGCAGCGCCCCCCTTCCGGAGGGCAGCATCCTGGTGGGGGCGGGGGCTCGGCTTCATCCCAGGGCACCTTTTGTCCCTGGAGACGCCCTGCCAACCAGGTATGTGGAGGGAAAATGCTGTCCGCTTTCCAGGGCGGCAGGTGTGGGTCAGGGGAGCGGGACGGTCGCGGGACAGCCACCACGGGTGGGCACAGCGAACTCACTGACCGGGCGTCTCCGGGGAAGTTCGGGCGGGTCCGCCGGCTCACGGGCTTTCTTCCTCCGAAATCCGTCCCTGGATCCCCAGAGCAGCCTCGCTTCTCACCCGAACTCGTGAAGCCGAGGGGTTAGGCGGGCGCGGGGTCCGGCCAGGCGCACGCGGGAAGCGCCTGGCCCGGGCGGCGAGGCCCCTCCAGCGCCGGTCCGCGGCCCAGGATGCCGGTCCGACCGCCTCGGCCGGGGCCGCTCATACAAAGACGGCAGCGGGGCTCGGGGGCTCCGGGGCTCCGGGGCTCCGGGCCGGGCAGGTCTCGGGGCGGCCCGACCTCCCTCCGCGGCGCGGCCCGTCCGCCGGCGCCGCCCGTCCGCCCGCGCCCAGCCGCCCGGCGAGGCGGCGGCCTCCTTCGCCGCGCGGGGTCCCCTGGTTAACCCCTGCCCGCCAGCCCGGCCGCTGATTGGAGGAGGCGGGGCGCCGGGGCAGCGGGGACCCCCCCACCTTCCTCGTCCCCTCCCCCTCCTCCCCCACTGTCGGCTCTTCCCCCACCCCCCCAGGACCCCCCCTGCCTCCCAGCCGTGCAAATCTCGCGAGGAAACACGCGGTTTCACTAGTGTGTTTACACCGATCACTACTAATCCGGACCGAACCGATCCGGATTAAGGGGCCGGAGGCGGGTCCTGGGCACCAGCGGTTCCGACCCCCCCGCCCTCCACGCCGCACCCGAGTGGCCCCGAGCCGAGCGGGCCCCCTCCTCCCGGCCCGGCCTGGGCCCTCCTGCGCCTCCCTTGGCCTTTGTCCGGCGCCAGGAGGCCGGTCCCGCGCCCCCCGCGGCCGCCCGGGCCCGGGCCCGCGTCGGGCGCCTGGCTCTGTACGCGAGCCCGGGGATCTGCGGCCTCCGCGGCCCCCCTCCCCCGCCCGCCCTCTCGTGGAGCCCGGCGCCGGCGGCGGCTGCCTGGGCGGGGGGTTGCGGCGCTCAGGAGAGGCCCCGGCTCCGCCCCGGGCCTGCCCAGGGGGAGAGCGGAGCGGTCCGCAGCCGGGTCGGGTCGGGGCCCCTCCCGGGAGGAGCGTGGAGCGGCGGCGGAGGCGGCGGCAGGTGAGAGGCTGAGCCCCGGGCGGGGGAGGCCGCCGGGCCTGGGGCATTAACCGTCCGGGGGACCCCCTCGCTGAGGAGTCTGCGGCCTGGGCCCACCCGGGGCCGGCGCCGGGCCGCAGCTCCTCGGCGCGGAGGCGGGAGCGGCTCCCTGAGGGCTGCGGGTCGCCGAGGGGCCGGGCCGAAGATGGGGGAGGCCCAGGCGGCCCCGGCCTGGGAGTGGGGCCGGCGGGCGGCGGAGAGAGGGGGCCGCGCCGGCAGCTGGAGGCCCCGGCAGCCTCCCGGGCGCCCCCGAGAGCTGGCCCGCCCTCCCTCCGTGACAGGTGGGCCTGGAGTTGGGGAAAGTTTGCAGCCGGCGGCAGGCGAGGGGCGCTGGGACCAGGCCCCATCGGTCCTGCTTCCCGGCTGTGGGCTCCGGGGAGGATCCCAGTCCAAGGCCCCGCTGCAATGAGACAGAGTGGCTATTTCCTTAACATGAGTTGACATTAAATGGAATAACCGCTGGGGCGTCATTTTCTGGGCCAGGCCTGGGGATGGAGGTTTAGGAAATGTTCCGAGAGACCCTGGGGTTTGAGGGAGGCTGCAACCTCTGCCATTCCGGCCTCGATTAGGGCAGGGCGAGACGCGAGGAAGGCCACTGAGGGGAACGACACTCGCTCAATCTCCTTTTCCCTTTCTTTTTCGTCTTTTAAAGATGCCTTTCTACGTTTCCGAGAATTTCTGAATTCCCTCTCTAACCTGCACTTGTCTGTGTGGGTGAAACTTTAATTTGTCACCCTTTCATTCCCCTTTGCCCCGGGCCCTCAATCCAGGAAGGGAAATGAAACTGGAGGACTAGTAGGGGTTGTTACTGGAAATTGTGGAGTCGTTAGATTGCAGAGGAGAATGTTTAATTCGTGTTTTCAGTGAACTTTTAAATCATACCAATAACTATTTAATAATACGTTGGAAGTGGTTCTATGTAATGGTGTGTGCTCCTTTTCCACTTTTAATGTTAGAGAGGTTTCCAATGGGTTCTGCAAGAGTTGATCTCTTGCAAAGGATGGACGTAATTGTTGAAAGTCGCCTGTGCATTAATTGGTCGTGGAAGGAGTTTAAAAATGGTGTCCTCCTGCCCCTCCCTGCTTGGAAGGAGTGCTAAAAGCAGACGTCTAAAGAAACCTACTGTTCCAGGTAGTGGTCAGAAAAAGGTTTTGTAAAGGGATGCTTATGGAGCTATACTAGTTTCCTGAGTGATTGCAGGTTGATGGTTTTACCATGGGTTCTCGATTAGATTTGAAATAATTAATCCCTTTTTTCATGAGCTGCTGTGAGCTCTTCAGAGAAAAGAGCTATGTAATAGCATTATTTGAAGTTATTTGTAGCTTCTGATTCATGCTATATTTTGAAATTAATACCGATGATTTATATTTTTAGTTTAAGAACTAGTTCTTGTGTGTTTGGGAAAGAAATATCTAAAAGTACTTAGCTAAATTCAAAAGTTGATAGAAGGAATTTTTTTTTTTGCAAGTTAGTCCTTTTACAGATCAACTTTTACAGGGATCAGATGAAGGGTTTCAGGGTTTTTTGCTGTTAAAATCAAATCAGAAATAGAGAAGAATAAGTGGCCCTTAAAAGAGGACTTCTGAGGCACTTTATAACTTTAAATATATTACTCTTTGATGCAGCGCATTGTAGTGTATCACTTGAGTGTGGTATTTACTTCAGGTTTACCTGGATGTGATCATTCAGTGACATAATTACTGTGAGTTTTGTTTGTGAGGAACCTAAAAATTGGTTCTTCACATTTTAGTTTTTGTGGTCTCACAACCTACTTTTTCTCATTTCAGTAGAAATGATGGAAGAATTGCATAGCCTGGACCCACGACGGCAGGAATTATTAGAGGCCAGGTTTACTGGAGTTGGTGTTAGTAAGGTGAGTAAAATGATGATAATGAACACTGTTCACAGTCTAATTGAAACACATTTAAAAAACAGTTAAGAGCAGTTTGGGTGGATCATACTGATAGATTGCAGGGGAGTAGATTTGGCTCATGGTTCCAGTGAGCTTTTAAATCCTACCAGTCATTCCCATCGTGTAACAGTGTGGTTGAAGGTATTCTATATGGGCCTGTGTGCTGCTTTCCCCCTCTGGTAGGGGAGCGATTTCCCATGGGTCTCGTTGCAAGGATACTGACGGAATGTGTATCTAGCTTCTATGCCGGATTTTGTCAAAAACTCCTCAGTCAGAAGAAAACTGTTGGTGGAAAGGTCTTGGTGTGGCTTCATTACGCTGGAGTTTGGGGATGGCTGCGTGGTAGAGTTTGGAAACGTCTGCGTCTGCTACGTCCGTCAGTTCTCCCAGTCTGCAGTTCAGCACATGCTGCCTGGTTGTTCCCCGAGACTGCTTTCTCTCTCCTTCTCTTATTCCTCCTTGTTCAGTCTATTCATTTTTGTTCTGGGAGTATAAAGTAAGATCAAGCCCCCGTTAACAGTCAGGTGTTAAGTTAAGCAATGTCACGGCTTCCTGTGTGTCCTTACATACCTGCTACTTCACCCCTCTGCTGTCATAGGATGGTATTGGTACAATATGTAAAACATATTTATCATTTTAATACTACATGTAAAATATATTTATGATGTTTTATTTAAAAGCTCACCAGTCCAAAATTGTTGGATTACTTGGGCTCGAGACTTGTTAATTTTTTTTTTTTGAGGAAGATTAGCCCTGAGCTAACATCTGTCACCAATCCTCTTCTTTTTGCTGAGGAAGACTGGCCCTGAGCTCACATCTGTGCCCATCTTCCTCTATTTTATATGTGGGACCCTTGTCACAGCATGGCCTGACAAGGGGTGCGTAGGTCCACACCTGGGATCCAAACCAGTGAACCCCGGGCTGCCGAAGCAGAACATGCGAACTTAACTGCTGTGCCACCAGGCTGGCCCTGAGACTTGTGAATTTTTGATCTTTGACTTCTTGTGAACATTTCTTTCTGTGCTTTTCAAGAAATCTTATTTTTCGTGATGACCTAGACGTTAGTCGCATGCTTTGGATAGTAGCTTCTTAAAAAAGAAGGTGTTTGTCAAGGTTTTATTGGAAAAACTGGCTGCTTTGATGGGTCTCATAATTTTGGTGAGCTGGAACAGCTTGATAGTTTTTGTTCTTTCAACAGATGTTGAGTGCCTGCTGCACACTAGGCATTGTGCAGGATGTTGGGTATGATGCATCAGCCCAGTGCCTCCTAGTCCCCTTTGTGGAGAGAGCAAGAGATACAGACAGACAGAGATAGTCCCGTGCTGAGAGCTGTGTTAGAGCTGTGATGGGGTGCTCTGGAACATGAGATTTGTTATACCCTTGGTAGTTCTTCGTTTCTTTGGCCACTTTAATTAAATAACGGACTTTTGTCGCACTTTGGAGCGTGGCTTTATTCTTGACTGTTGTTACATATATATTTATATATACGTGTAAGCGCTCTGATCTAGGTGAAGCAGCTTCAGCTGGAACTGAGTGGTATACTTGAGTATTAAATTGATCTCTGATTCAATTGATTACCTAATAATGACCTTTGGTGTCTCTTTTAATTTGGAATACAGTAGAAGGCTTATATCTGAATCTGTCTGTTCAAATGGTCACCTACTGAGTAAAAGTAAGTTTATATTCAAATTGTACGTAGTTTGAACTCATTGGGCTTTGTTGTTAGGTTGCTTTTCTTTTCTTCTGTTAGGTTCACGATAGCTGTATCCAGGTCTGCTTTTGGTGGGTGGAGCATACATGATGGAAATGAGTGACACTGAATTTTGCTGCCTAGGCCCAACTTAAAAATCGTGTAACTAAGGTGTCAGGAAACTTTAATACAATGATCCATCTGTTTAATCGGAAGTTCTACCTTTAATATAGAGAGAAAGAAGTTCCTTTGTATCCAGACGCTTTATGCCATTAATTGTTATTTTGATGATTCTAGTCATGGTAAGTATATTGATTACAATAAATATGTTATTCAAGGACTAGCAAGAGAGTAGGTTTTTTTCCATGGTAAAGAAACTTGAAAAAAACCCGAACAAGTAAATTATTATGTAGTTTGAGAGTTAGATAGAGGAAAAGAAAATCTCCATTTTGTATGACTTTTTTTGCCTGCAAGACATTGTCTCTCTCAGACCACTGATCTGAAATAGGAGTGGGGAGGCCGCCGTGGTCGTGGGAGTGAAGGTGCTTTTGGGAAAACCCCTCCTCCCAGCTTTGAATTCCTGGTTGTGGGTCATAATTTCTCAAAGAGGACATCACTGCTGTGCTGATGACAGCTTTCAGTTCTGCAGAGATCAAGAGGGCTTTCAGCTCTTGCTCCAAATGGGAGAGCAGAGTGACTTTCCCGTAATAGTGCCACCTAGTGGGGCTGTTGCCACCGCATGGGCTGTCTCGGGGTTTCTCCTAAGTATTCATAACATTTTCAGTACTTTTTGATATCCATAGAAGGAAGAAAGTCAGTGCCACTGTGGAGTCTTTCATAGTGGACGAGAGTGTTTTAGGTAGCTGCAGTTTTTGAACTTCCTGGTTATTATAGGTCTTCTGTCACATTGCTTCAGATTTTTTACATCTGCAAATTAGATATATATCACAAAATTTAGGCTAAAAGAAAATGGCCAAGCCATCACATTTATTGCTTATATTTAAGTTGCTCTTTACTTAATTTAGGTTTTTTATCAGCAAATTTTAAATTTTCTTGCACATTGTCTTCATATGCATTCAATTTCTCTTTCTATTAGCATATTTAGTTTATAATAACCAGTAAACCAAAAGCACGTGTTTTGCACTTTGGGATGCACTTTGTGGTGGTTTGTTTAAGAGATGGATGTTTTCTGTCATTAGTGAGTTGATAGAGGAAAGTAGCCTAATGTGCACTGAGAAGCTATAGCTGGCTTTCCTCCTCTAATCTAGCTGCCACTTTTTAGGAGGATTTGTAACTATTCTCTTAGCTTTTTTGAGGGATAAGGCTGATTGGGTTGTGAACTGACTTCTACCTGATAAATGAGCTATTCTACTCCTTTTTTAAGATCTCTTCCTTTAAGCACTGGATAGTCTACTTCCAGTCACGTGAAACTGATCCTACCTTGTATTCATGTGTTTTCAATGCGTTCCCTACTCTGCTCCCTTTTGACAATTTAAATATTGGTAGGCTCTCTGATTCTGGAGACTGTAAAGTAGGTGGAATTCCACCCTTGCATGCACTCTTAATCTGTACCTAGTTGAATTTGAATGCTAATATAGTAGCTGATACTTACATAGCACCTACGATATGTCAGGTACTGTTCCAAGTACAGTAAAAGTAATAAGAGGGGAATTTAGGTCTTTCATGACAGGGATACTGGTCTTAATAGACTTCCATTCTCTTTTTGTAAAACATACTGACTGATGTCCACTGCATTGCTCCCACCAGTTGAATTATAGACTTACCAAGGATCACTTTATGACAACTTGCACTTGATTTAAAATTATATAATTTAATACAGAATTGTGTAAGCCAATGAAATATGATTGTAAAAATGAAAGAATTGTTGATTCTCTGAAAACTAAGTTAACTGCCTTAGAAAGACTAAACATAAGGTGAGTCAATATGGAGATATCTGTAAAAATTTATAGTTTTTTTTTTTTTTTACATCTAGAAGAATTCTTCATTTAGATCCTTGGCGAGTATCTTTTAAGTTCTTGCTTCACTTTTAAAGAAATCGAAACTAGAAATTGTAGATGATGCATTCTGGGTGTGGTTTGTGTAAGACAGTTTGGAACTACAGTCAGTGGATCTAAACTCAGAAGGCCTGCATCAAAGACTGGCAACAGAAGATACATTTAGATGTTTTAGGTTCAAAGAAAATGTTTAACTTGTCGTTTTTTTTAGATTTCCCACTGTAACTTGCTTTTTTGATTAATGTCATTGCTTTCAGTTGTATTGAATGAAAGGATTGTGCATTACTTGGATGGTATTGAAAAGGAGCAAAATGAGAAGCCACAAAAAGTGGTGCTGTCTATTTTGGCATGAAATGACCACGTGCTTTTAAGTAGTACCACATAGCAGATTTTTGATGTTTTCTTAAAGAAAAATGATCTCTTTTCCTACCGTTTTAAGAATTTGAGTCTGATACATGTTCACCTTCAATGATCAAATTTGACTTCTGAAAAGATGTTTAATCAACTGATAGCTTTCTCTACTGTCATTTAGTTAATTGCATCAATTAGAAGATGTCAGTTATGGGTATCTAGTGTTAGCTATTTCATATACCAATACTGATAGTTTTTTAAAATATGTATAGGTATTTTACATTTAATACATAGTTAGACAACGCTCAGTAAGCATAAATGCTGACACAGTCTCTGCTTACACCGGTAAATTTTAAGGAACTGTTGATAAATCTTTTATATGTTTGACTTTATGTTGTCTTCTCCCTTTCGTTTACTTTAGTACTCATTTAATTCTTACCTTGTTTCACATGTAGTCAAATATCAACTCATGGCTCTTTGAGATTTCTCCAGCCTTTGTCTGCCCCCACTACTACTGCCTTAATCCAGACTTTTCTCATTCATAACTGTTAGCCAGTCTGTCCTACCCCATTCATCTTTCTGTAAACTGCCACCAGTTATAGTTCTAAAAATACCAACATTGTTTTACTGTCTCTCTTTAAAGGCTCCCCATTGCCTGCTGATAAAGTTAAAACTCTCTATCCTGACTTTTCACCTTCCTGGCCAGTTGTCTGCTCCCCCTCTGCTGTGCTCTGCCAGCTCACGCTGACTGATTTCCTGACCTGCAGTGTTAGCAAACAGGCCCCGTGCTGTCTCCTCCCCTTTCCTTTTTTATTTGCCTGATGAACTTTTAGCTTACTCTTCGAAGCAGAATTTAGATATCTCTTCCTTATAGCTTTTCCAGATAATCCCATCAATCTGGTTGC